GTCACATTTTACACAGGTATTTTTTTTGAAGATGTCAAAAATCACGCGTTTCCCATGACCAGTTGTACTATACACAGGTAATTTTTGTCAAGAAGTGTTAAAATTAATGCAAAAAATTCAGGGGTCAAACTATTGTCAGGTTACCTCCTTCTAATTTTCAAAACCACTACTAGGAGACACTTTCTGGATTACATATACTTGTTGATATATTTTTCTTGCTTTCTTCTTATCTTATTCATCAACATGTAACCTCTCATGGAGAATGCGTTCCATTTGGGGAAATGCATAAACAATATATACAGACACGGACACGGACATATGCACATTCATTCACTACACATACTTTGGACCAAACTGTTTCCACATTCATTTGTTACATACATTATTGTCTTGTTGCTTGTATACCTTTGTTGTTAATATACTATCATTTGTTTGTACATATATATTGGTACTTGTCTTTTCTTTACATTTTATTACATGGACTCACATGCCAAGTCTGCCATGTTTGTTGTGGGCATTTCAGGAGTCACACGTATTTATCTCTCAATGCTTATACCAGTGGCCCACAACACAATACACGAAGTCTGTTCATACATGAGTATATGCAGTATTAGTCTTTGTTGGGAGTAGTATTTTCAATTACAATTTAGTTACATTTTTCTAAATAACTTTTTAACTATGAAACAAATAACATTCAAATGTTTATATTGATGAGAATCAGCAATAAGTTCCTGTCAAATTTCAAATATCGAGGTTGTTTAATTAATTTACATAACCTATTTGAAATATGAACAGAAACAGAAATTTATTTTGCTGGTAAAAACAAATTGCACCAAATAATGTGCCTGATGGCCACTTAAACAATCAACAAAACATCTCAATTGGTGACATTCATTTATTAATGAGATGACAATCTGTTCAATATTTTCTTCTGAGAAGCCACTTTTGCTATGTTAGACTAAATTTTAAGGCTTAAGTTTTCTACATACACTGCATACATTATTAGCTGCACATTTTGAAAACAATTTAATCTAAAAAAGAACATAAAATTTAATAATAACAAAGTCAAATTCATTGTTAATAATAATTTAAAATTTCATCATAATTTGACTGCTTCAAGCAACACTTTATTTTCTTCCTATCAAAGGAACTTTATGAGAATGCAAACAAATATCTGCATGTTAAATTGTAGTAGTATTAGGTAGTAGTAACACCACATGGAAATATACACTTTCCTTTTCACTAAGAGAGTGACAAAGAAATCTCTCTCTCTCTCTCTCTCTCTCTCTCTCTCTCTCTCTTTCTCTCTTCTCTTATACACATACTTCCTTTCCTTTCTTTTATTGTTCCGATCCTCAGTAACTGACACAGTTTATGTGGGTCAGCGAGCATCATAAAAATTTAACCAATGACAACATGTCCTGCCAAAAATCAGATGGAAAACATGGATGTGTCAGGCCTGTTATAGACAAGCGTATGGTTGCAAGAAAGAAATACGACAACAGCAGAAATAGATTTACATGGTTTATTTCAACAGGAACGTGTGGGTTTGGAACAGCTACCTTGTGGTAAAGTTCATAAGCTGGCTTCAGATCTAGGTCAATCTCTCATAGTAGTTTACACATGTTGATGGTGGTTCAGCAGCTGAACATGACAGGTCTCTCTCTAGTGTTGAACTTCCATGTGACCCCTTTTATAGCGTTTTTTATGGCTTAACAGGCTCGAAAAACGAAGCGAGTATAATTAGGAGGGAAGCATTTTTATTGGACGAAAAATAGAGCACTTTAAATATTATTTTATTTTTCGACCGGAACACGTGTGTCGGGAACATTTGTAAAGAAAGATAATGGTCATTTTGTGACGGGATTTTGTCCCGTTTCCATCCGGTTCTCACTCTTGAATATTTGCCTGTAAATCAGCCGAGATATGTCTTATTTTATTTTATAACAGGCCCAATAAAAAGAAGAGAAAAAAACATGTGCGCAGCAGAAGTGGGGAAATTGGTTTGATGTAGCAGTTTGAGATGCAAGGGTTGGAGATTCATCAGATGGCGAGTTTGACTGGATGTACAACTCCAGAAGAAAAAGAAGAATTCAACAAATTAATTTCTGTCAACCAAAAACACAACAAACCTGTATGAACCACAAAAAGACTAAGATGATAGTCACCCACTTTAACAACTGTAACCACATGGAGTCAATAATAAAAATGGTACTATAGACAGTAAATTTTACCTTTACTTATGTATCATCCCAACCTTCATCTCTATATACCATAAAAAAAATCTGGATATTGTTACCAAAGAGAACTTTATTAAATGCTTGTTTAGGATTTTTGATATTTTATCTAGTGTAATACTCTTTCTTTAAAAAGCTTTGCATGTTTAGAAAATAGCTAAACATACATTAAGTTAATATATGTTATTGTTAGTCTTTCCATGATTTATTATATTTTTCAATGTACTTCATCTTTTTAAGCTTTAATACAAAAAATAATTTTTATTCCTGAAAACGTGATACCTAATAATTTTTTTTTTTATTGGTTTTTGTAAGTAAACAGAATTAAGCTAAAATATCATCCTTGCTGTAACCTTTCAGAGAACTTTCTTAATCTGCAGTATCTTCTGCCATTTTTGTCCTCCATTTCTGCTGTCAGGAAGCCTTAGAAGCATTAACATTATTGTTAATTACTGTATATCTTTAGTTAATTTATCATCATCACTAGTAACAATATGGTATATAACCAATAAGAAAACACATCACAGATATTTATCTTTCTTTCCTAAATTTTTAAATAATAAAAAATTAACACCACAAGTCAGCAAGGACAATAATTTTGGAATGGTTTAAAAATGATTTCCTATATAAGGTTCAAATTAAAATAGAGATCTGCTTGACACATAATTTCTATAATTAAAATTACAATTTCCCTTCATAATGAATGAATACCAAACGTTTTATTATGTTAAAAAATTAACTGAATTTTAATAGAATTTTTAAATTGCTAGAGTCTCTTGAAGTGGCTGCTAAAATTTTCAAGTTTTTCTGCATGTGTTTTATAAGAATTTCATTAAAAATTTCAAGTAGAAAAAAATATATCTATGCTTAAAAAAATTGAATCAGATTTTTGTTTTACAATTTTTTATCATATTAAAAAACATAATAAGTTCTATAAAAATTGATTAAACTGTTATGATTTAATTTAATAAATTAAACGGTTATAATTTAATTGATTATACTGTTATCTGTGATTGACAAGTTTTTGTCAAAGGCTGTCCAATGTCAATTCAATGGTCAATGAAGATTTTGATGATCTTATTGAAATGTATATTTCATCCAACAGCAATCAGTTATTTATTTATGTCTTTATATGAACTGTTAATATCATTTAATTATAGACAATGAATAATGTTCTTCTTGCAATTAATGAAACAACAGCAGTAATTAAAAATTTTTTTTTACTTAAACTTTATTTTAAAGAGTGAAGTATGACCTAAAGAAGAGAACTTTAGCACTTCAGCCCCCACCCCCATCATTTAAAGGTGAATTCAACTTACATTCTAATTTTGGGTCTCTAATCTTGTTATAACTGGCTATTTGTATTCAAAACACCTCGAATATATTTATGAATATTGGCACCATATTTCCTAATTATTAAGTTAATAATACTGAAATTATTTTACCAACATATGATTATAGAAGTCATTTTGATAATATTAATTTGAATATTGCATATTTGTTAACTCATATGACAATAGGACTAAATGTTGACAGAATAATTTGAAGCATGTATCTGACACATGTCAGAAAAACTGGGTACATCAATGAGTTGGCCTGACAGATAACCTCCTGGCCACTAGGTGCAAAGCTGCACCTCACTGGTTGTCAGTGGCTGCCTCAGCATGTAAACATGTGATCTGAGTCAGGTAGTCTCTTACATTGCATACAAAAATGTCGGCTCCATATTTCAGATGAGAGGCCTGGACCACACACACACACAGGCTGACAGTATTTTATGAAGTCCTGAGTTGAATAAAATACAATTTGTATAGATTAGAGGTTCAGTCTGATTTTCTCATCTCTAATGTACAACAATATTTCATTACATTTGAAATACCAAGGAAACAACTTTGGAGATTACCACAGGGCAACACCCGATAATAAAAAAAAACCCGATAAGACAACACCTGAGTTTTACTTGTTTTTCATCACACAAAATGTTGTATAGGCCAGAATGTGACCTTGAAGATAGTCATAATACTAAAATTGTACAATTTGAATTTTTAAAGTAAATAAGTTTTATATGAAAATTTAATAAGAAGTATGGCTCATTGGCTGAGATAATTGAAATGATACTTTCTGGATTAGTAGGCATCCTTTTATCTTATATGAGATAAAGGAAGTACTCTGTTTAATTAAAATTCAATCCTTTGGTGATGAAAGTGGCAGCTAGAGCAATAGAGGTTGTGTACTGCCTACAGACCACATATGCCATAATAACAAGGTCTAAAGGAATATTACATTTGTGGCCAGCTTGGCTGTAGGAGTTGCTTCAAGTGTGTCGGTGTTGACAATCAAGTGCCTTCGGGGCTCCAGTCTGGATTTACTTCCACAGACTTTTCTCTCTTTGCATATTATCACCAGGCAGTAGAGGTTTAAAATCAGTGTTTACTTTCCCTAAATGGACTTCCTTCTCCAGCTTATTTTATGCAATTTTTTTTTTATAATGATGATGATAACAGAAACTTGATTAAAAGGTGAAAACAGGAAAAATCCCCTCTTGCATAAAGATGATAATCGGCAAAATATGGCGTTGAATAAAATGCAATGTATACACATCAGAGATTCAGTTATGTCTTTATTTGTAATATATGAGAAAACTTGTGTAAAGATAATAATCGGCAAAGTATGGTATTGAATAAAATGCAGTGTATACATATCAGCGATTCAGTTATGTCCTTATTTGTAATATATGAGAAAACTTTATTACAAATTTTTATT